GACTGATCTCAGTGGTTTGGAGACCAGCTGTAATTCAGAGAGATCCCTCCTGTCCCTCCTTGGAGGTTGGTAGCCCTAAAAGACTGCTGGTCTAGGACCTTGGCTTAAGAGAAGAGAAGGAGAGAGAGAAGAGATCGGATCTATGCCCCGCCCTTCACTACTTGAAGGAGTCTCAGAGCGGCTCACAATCTCTTCCCTTCCCCTCCCCACAACAGACGCCATGTGAGGCAGGTGGGGCTGAGAGAGCTCTGACAGAAACTGCCCTTGAGAGAACAGCTCTGAGAGAACTTGTGACTGTTGTGGAGGAGTGGGGAATCAAGCCTGGTTCTCCCAGATTAGAGTCTGCGCTCCTAACCACTACACTAAACTGTCTCCCATATGCCCACCCTCCCATGGCACTCACTGGACATTCTAGGGCCAGTCCCAGTTTTGCAGATTAAATGGGGGGGGGGCATGTATATCATTCCACTTTGCTTAGTGGAAGGGTGGGGAAAATGTGTCAAAAGAAAGAAATGGTCAGTTGAACAGCACTGTCCAAGTTTGCTGCATATAGAGAATATCGGCAATTGCTGTTTTGTAGTCCTCATGAGAGCAGAGATCATGTTTTAAAAAAACATGTGACTTAAAATGGGAGAGCCAGGAACAAGCCAGCAAGTTCAAACATGCAACTATTTAGCAAAGCCACCTGATAACGAAAGGTACATTCAAGTCAACTAGCACCTTAGAGACCAACAAGGATTCAAGAGCAGAGATCATTTTTTTAAAAAAAGATGTGACTTAAAATGGGAGAGCCACCAACAAGGATTTCAGGATATGAGCTTTTGAGAGTCAAAAAGCTCCCTTCATCAGATACAAGTAGGAATGGAGATCCTTATATCCCATTTAGAAAGTGGGAGGAATGTTTCAAACAAGACAGTCAGGATGGAAAGACACAATGCAAAAGGTAACTGCCTTGATTAGAATTTGGGGGAGGAGATGCTTAGAGGTGGAAAATTAGCATCTGTAATCTGATAAGAATCCCACATCCCTATTCAGTCCTGGAGGCTTCTATTAAAGTAACAAAACAGGGCAGGCTTACCAGACAGAGGACATGAGGAGTGTCACCTTCCTTAAGTGGGGATTTATGAAGAGATCCAGAATACTCCCAGATTTGGTCTTGGCCTCAGGTTGGAGCTTTGAGAGAGAAAGAGAGAGAGAGAGAGAGAGAGAACGAACATGTCAAAAAACATATTCTAGACAGGCAGCAAAGCTAAAGGCCAAATGAAACATGATGGCAGCGGAGACCAAAGTAGTCATCTGGCGGACTTTACACTCACACAGTGCCACACTTAAACCACACTGTCACCTGTGCAAAGAATCTATACATGCCAGTGCAGCAGCTTTGCAAGGTTATCTGCACTATCACTGTGGCAAGTGTGGATTCCCGTGGATGATTGCTTTGGCCTCACATTTACATCGAGCCTTAGTCCAGAGTTCTCCAACATGGCCTCGTGGGCAGTGTTCCCTCTAAGCTGAGTCAGTGTGAGCTAGCTCACAGTTTTTTAGCCTCCGGCTCACACATTTTTGTCTTCGCTCAGGAAGGAGGGCGCCAGAGCCAACTAATTCATGCAGCAGCCAAATCGCTTGCTCACGACTTTAATGCCAGGAGCTCACAAAGTAGAATTTTTGCTCACAAGACTCCACAGCTGAGAGGGAACATTGCTCGTGGGCGCCACGATTCCTGCCGACAACTTTCCTGGCGCCCACTCGGGTTCCTCTGTGCGGCAGCCATTTTGCGGATGTGGTGCCCACCACCCTCTGTCAAAATTCCAAAGGTGCCCACAGGATCAGAGAGCTCAGGGACCCCTGCCTTAGCCCGTTGTAGCAAAATCAAAAAGAGTCTTGAGACACCCAAAGTACTTCTTCGTCAGTAAATCTGTCTTCTCTCCTGCACTCAGGGTTCCTCTGTGTGGCCGCCTCCACCTCCCGCGGCAGCCATTTTGCGGATGTGGTGCCCACCACCCTCTGTCAAAATTCCAAAGGTGCCCAAAGCATCAGAGAGCTCGGGCACCCCTGCCTTAGCCCGTTGTAGCGAAATCAAAAGGAGTCTTGAGACACCCAAAGTACTTCTACGTCAGTAAATCTGGACGGGGAACCGTGTTAGTCTGTCTGTAGCAGTAGAGCTGTGGTGGCTCAAGTGGTTAAGATGCTGAACTGCAGGCTGTGGAAGGTCGGTAGTTCAGCAGTTCGAGACCTGAGTGTGCCGCATGACGGAGTGAACTCCCATCTCTAGTTCCAGCTCCTGCCAACCTAGCAGTTTGAAAGCAAGAAATTGCAAGTAGCTAAATAGGTACCACTTCGGTGGGAAGGGAACAGCATTCCGTGTGCCTTGGTGTTTAGTCATGCCGGCCACATGACCACGGAAACGTCTTCGGACAGCGCTGGCTCTTCGGCTTTGAAACGGAGATGAGCACCGCAACCCTAGAGTCGGACTCGACTGGCTTTCGAGCAAGGGAAACCTTTACCTTTAACAGTAGAAAAGAGCAAGGGTCCAATAGCACCCTCTTGTTGTTCAGTCGCACAGGTGAGTCCGACTCTTCGCAACCCCATGGACCACATCACGCCAGGCCCTCCTGTCTTCCGTCGTGCTCCGGAGTTTGCTCAACTTCATGTTCGTTGCACCGATAACACTGTCCGGCCATCTCATCCTTTGCCGTCCCCGTCTTCTTTGACCTTCAGTCTTTCCCAGCATCAGGGTCTTCTCCAGGGAGTGCTCCCTTCTCATTGGGTGCCCAAAGTATTGGAGTTTCAGCGTCAGTCTCTGGCCTTCCAGGGAACAGTCAGGGTTGATTTCTTTTAGGATTGACTGATCTGATCTCCTGGCAGTCCAAGGCACTCTTCAAGAGTCTTTTCCGGCACCATAGTTTGGAAGCATCTATTCTTCAGCGCTCGGCCTTCCTTATAGTCCAACTCACCTTAAAGACTAACGAAATTTGTGGCAGGGGAGGAGCTTTCGGGAGTCACTGCTCACTTCCTCGGATATCTGAATGGCTAAATGTGGTGCCATCTATGGAGATAGATCAAAATGGGTAGCTGTGTTTGTCTGTAGCAGGAGAAAAGAACAAGCGTCCAGCAGCACCTTAAAGGCTAACAAAATCTGTTGCAGGGGACGAGCGCTCGTGAGTCACTGTGTCCTGCTTCAGAAAGTGAGCAGCGACTCACGAAAGCTCCTCCCCTCCCACAAATTTTTGTCAGTCCTTAAAGTGCTCCTGGACTCTTGCTCTTCAGTAAATCTGTTGAGTCTTTGTTATGTATTGGGCCTAAGCCATTCCTGAATGTGAACCTTGAACTGTGTGAGCTTGCTGCCCAAGAACAATAGCTGACCAGGATCCTGGAATTGACCAATAGATAAGCAGTGTAATGTAAATAGCCTATCCTAGGGAGTGGGTATGTGTGGGGTGGGGTGTTTGCATGCTTTATAAGCAGGGCTCAGACCCTGCTGCGTGTCCTTGCTGTGTTCCTGAAATCACTAAATAAACTAGAGCTGATCACTGCAATGCGTCCAGAACCCAGTATTTAACAGTCTTGAACGTGACTTTTCTTTTCAACACAAGAAAGAAAGAATTTCAGTGCAATTCCTTGGTATTTGTTTTCTACCAGGAGCTGAGGTCGCCAGCTCTGGGTCGGGGAATCCCTGGAGCTCTAGGGGTAGAACCTGGAGAGGGCAAGATCCGCAGCAGTGTATAATGCCATGGAGTAGGGTTAACCAGATTTTGAAAAGCAAAAAAGAGGACGGGTTTCCCAACTGACTTCTTCAAGCAAGTGATCATTGTGACAAGTCTCATTTTGAATAGCCCTGCTATTGAAGCTGTGATCATTGCTACTAACTAGGAATATTCCTAACCTTCCAACCCCAAAAGAGGACGTTTTCATCAGGGTTTTGTGTTTTTTTTAAAGAAAAAAGAGGACATGTCCTCTAAAAAGAGGACATCTTGTAACCAGGGGTCATTTCCTGCGGGAGCACACAGGAGCGGAGCTCCGGCAGTAAGAAGCCCAGGGGGCGGGCACATGCAACCCGCCCTCCCCGAACGGGCTCAGCGCGGCTAACAGACCCTGCAAAGTAGTCCACCCTGCAAAGTAGCCATTTTCTCCAGGGGAACTGATCTCTGTTGTCTGCAATTCTGGGTGCTCTGCAGGTCCCAGCTGGAGGTTGGCAACATGATCTGGGACAGCGAAATCTACCATCATACCAGAGGCCCCATTTGCTGTTCACCCATCGCAAGCAAGAACTAGGGGTTAGGTTCCACTCTGTGACACCTAGCCCGGTTGGACTTTGCCATCTAGTGGTCAGGATGAAGAAGGCACCTTTAAGACCAACAAAGTTGCTTCCGTGTGCAAAGCGCACTTCTTCAAACACATGGAATAAGATCTCCTCAGGGTGCCACTGGACTCAAACTTTGTTCTGGTCTGACATGTTCAATTTGCAATCAATCCTAGAAAAAGGATTAGAAAAGAATCGAAATAGACAGGCCTTTGCATACCCAATATAGAAGAGAAATACTTTAACCTTTGCTCCTTCATTTGAAAATTGTAGTTTCCCCCCACCCTACCCCCTCCAAAACTCCCCCTATTCCCTTCTTTTGGCCTAATCAGTGGCGGAACTAATCTTTTACCGAGAATGTATATGACGAATTGGTGTTCCCTCTAAGCTGAGGTAGTGTGAATTAGCTCGCAGTCTTTTAGCCTCCGGCTCATATGTTTTTGTCCTAGCTCAGGAAGGAGGGCTCCAGAGCAAACTGATTTATGCAGCAGCCAAATCGCTCGCTCACAACTTTAATGCCAGGAGCTCACAAAGTGGAATTTTTGCTCACGAGACTCCACAGCTTAGAGGGAGCATTGCTACCAGGGCTAATTTTGGGCAGGAACGCACAGGAACGGAGTTCCGGCTGGCTCCTGAGTTGGCCACACCCAGTAGGAACTCATTAGCATAATAGGCCACACCCAACAGCAGAAACTCATTAGGATTGGCTACATTAGGGGTGTGTGGCCTAACATGCAAAGGAGTTCCTGCTACAAAAAAAGCCCTGACAACAAAGTAAACAGAATAAGAAGCAAAAGGGGTGAGTGGCTGGATGACCACACTTCTGGTAACATGGGGGTGCGGCCTAGTATGCTAATGTGCTGTGCTGTCGAGGGTGTGGCCTAATATGCTAATAAGTGTCTGCTGTTGGGTGTGGCCTATTATGCTAATGAGTTCCTGCTGGGCTTTTTCTACAAAAAAAAGCCCTGATTGCTACTAATCCAAACCTTCCTCACCTGTCCCAACAGTGTGGGTGGGATAGTCCGTTTATTCATCACAGCAGCTCTTCGGAGGAGCTTTTTGGCTTCCTCCACCTTCCCTTTGGTCACAAGCCACCGAGCAGATTCAGGAAGGAGCCTGGAAAAGATGGGTGTGTGCAAACAAGTCAGTTCTATTTGGCCCCTGACCTTATATCCGACGTTTCTCCCCAGTGAGGACCAATGTGGCTTTCGTCATTCTCAGGTCCTCCAATCAATCCTCACAACAGCCCTGCGAGGTAGGTGAGCCTGAGTGTGGGTGACTGGCCCAAGGTCACCCAGCGAGCTTTCATGGCAGAGTGAGGACTCGAACCTGGGTCTCTGAGGTCCTAGACCAAAACTCTAGTCACTACATGGTGGCCCAAAACTGGCACAAACCCCTGCAGTCTGTCTTCTGCTTTATAAAAACTGCTCCTTACCCAATTCCTCCGCTATTTAAATTGGCTGCTTTGTGTATGAGCTGTTATAACGGGCACAGGAGTCTATTCATTTTAGGGATTATTTATAGTTTGTAGTGTGAATTCAGATGAGGTTTTATAATATTTCATTCATTATGATGTGAACTGCCTGAGATGCAAACTGTTGAAATCAGTAAAGAAGGAAAGTAGAGTTTTATACCCCACTTTTCTCTACCATCAGGACTCGCAAAGCAACTTACAATTGCCTTCCCTTCCGCTCCCCACAGCAGGCACCTTGTGAGGCAGGTGGGGCTGAGAGAGTCCTGAGAGGACTGGGACTGGCCCAAGGTCACCCAGTAGGCCTCGTGCGTCTCAGAGCAGTTTACAATGGCCTTCCCTTCCTCTCCCCACAACAGGCACCTTGTGAGGCAGGTGGGGCTGAGAGAGTTCTGAGAGAACTGGGACTGGCCCAAGGTCACCCAGCAGGCCTCATGTGGGAGAGGCTT